CTCTCTCTCTCTCTCTCTCTCTCTCTCTCTCTCTCTCTCTCTCTCTCTCTCTGTGTGTGTGTGTGTGCGTGTGTGTGTGTGTGTGTGTGTGTGTGACGAGGAAAGGCCGCATGGGGATCCAAGACCCCTTTTGAGGGTATTGCAGCTATTGCTTTTATTTTGGCTTGTCACTTTCGTGAACTTCTCTTTATTTTCCTTTTGGGGGGGGGCTCACAACAAGCCTTTTCCAATTTCCTAGGCCCTGTTGAATGATTCGAAAAACGTCACATCAGATCTGGAGAATGAGGATCAAAATGCCTCGGAGAGAAGCAATGAATGCCGGTTGCTATTAAACCCATTGCAGTCGCTCCATCTTTGATCAACTGATTGCCAAATGGTTCCACTGGAAAGGATGAGAAAATTGAAAGTTTTCCCTCAGAAACAAATTCATAAAAAACTATTCAAAAGTAAAAAACGTGAAACTGGTTAACTAATTAGTAATACTAAACACGAACTCCTTAAAATAACAAAACTACGGAGTTACGAACTTGGGGACATTGTTAAAATTGGAATGATACGCCTTTGGGACATCGTTAAAATTGGAACAATACATGGAGGTTTGTAGTCTTTTGTGCCCCGGCTGTCCCTTTCTAGTTCAACCACTGACCGGGTCGGATGTTTGTCCAGCCAGTGAGGCAAAGCTGTCCCTCTTCCTTTTGCAGCAATTTTTGGGTCTTGACCCAAGAGGAGGAAGAGGAGGAGGAGGAGGTCCTAATTTCCAATGGACCAGCCCATTGACTGGTCCACGGGGAACTGGCACAGACCTATCCATGGACGGCAACATCGCTTTCTTTTTTTTGCCGTCGTTGCTGTAAGCGTTTGTGTGGTACAAGACTTCCGCGATCGTGCCGCGGCATGTTGAGTCGAGAGGCCTGCTTATAAAGTTATATAAACAACACTGTAATGAACCCAGTCAGGAAGATGCTCATCAGACGTCGAAGTTCCAGTAGTCTCAGATCTGTACAAAGTCTCCAGTTAACGTGAAAATGATATCTGCAACAGTATCTCGTTACCAATGGACGAAGAGAGTGGAGGGAGGATAGACAAGGGAGAAGGTGGAAGTAGTCAAAGATCACACAATAGTAACCCAACCAATGCCACTTCTTCTCCGGGCTTCCTCTCCCTCCCCGTCATCAATCAAATAAGAGTAACAAGTCTGATAAGTCCCGATAAAATAGAAGTGCCACATGGCACCACTCTCTCATAGAGACAATCGAGACAGCCAGCAGCGAACAATATCAACGTCGGCCTCAGGTAAGTATCCCGTTTCCCAATCATCCACAGATCCCGATCTTCCTCCTCGTCGCAACCAGTCACCTCATGTAGACAGCGTGGCCAATGCCACGTCAGCAGTAGAGACAGGTGGCAGCGCCACATCAGGTGTAGACAAGTGGCCTGCGCCACATCAGCAATGTAGACGAGAGATGGTTAACGGAGACCCTAATTTTCAGACCACTTGCCATGCCATTTATATGAAAAACAAAGGGTCATTTTAACTTGTCACAAATTCGTAGAGTGGAGACCATACTAACTAACTGCAAAAAAAAATCCAAAAAATAAAAATAAAAAACATAAAAACAGCAAGGCAAAAGTGCATTTTCATGAAATTTCGCCAACATGTGGAGAGATGGCCTGTACAGTCTAATCATAACGACGCAATTATCAGGGGCGCGCTCTACCAGCTGAGCCCACAAGAAGATTGATATTAAATAAGCTATATTTTCAGATATACCAAAATCTATCACTAACCATCAAACTAGTTATTAAAATCAAATTTATTATAAAGTAATTTTTTAATTTAATTCTCTTCTTTTTTTTTTCTCTGAACATTGTTGATTGATATAAGAACTAATTTAATAGCGTTGAATTTCAATCTCATAAGAGATGACATACCAGTGGCCTGCGCCACATCAGCAATGTAGACCAGTGGCCTGCACCACATCAGCAATGTAGACAAGTGGTCTGCGCCACATCAGCCTTGAAGACAGGTGGCAGCGCCACATCAGCAATGCCTGGCGCACAATACAGAAAGTGCGAGCATGCTGTCACAGCCCGCGTCGTCGTCCACAGTGCCTGCGCACAGCCAGCGTCAAGCCAGCGTCTCGCCAGCGTCGTGCCGACATCAATGCCAGCGACCAGTCAGAGTCGAGCCAGCGTTCAAGCAGCATACCAAGACTGAAAGACTGAATGTCGACCTCCTGGAGATCAGTCCTTTTGTAGCATTTGACGAGGCTGTCTGGTCTCAGGTCCCTCACCCACAGTCGTACAGATTGACTCACAGCCGAGGGCCTGGATTATGTACAGTTGCAGACTTCCCCTTGGACCTGATGCTGTCTGGGTACCTGCATACAAACAAGTGTGTGCATCTGACTGGCGGCCTGGGCTGGGTACACTTTGACTTTGACTGTTGGGTCTCCGACAGTTGACTTTAGTCAACTGTATCTCGTCCAGGCCCTGAATCGTTTCGTGAGGTTCATTTTCCCCTTCGGCCTGGGTCTGAGTGCGGCCCGGAAGCCCTCAGACTTTCCACGAGGCATGCAGCATGGGTTATTGCAACACACTGGGTCGCACCGCTGCAGGGCTCGACTTGCGATAAGATTAGGATATAACAGGTCACAAATGATGCCCCCTGGAGGAAGACTGTCCCTGGGGTTGTCACAAGCCATCTGACCTCCTCACTGGTTGAGTACGACGACAGGCACCTCCCGAGGCCTAGCATCTACCCTCTACTATTACATGGACCTTTGGAAAAAAAAAAAAAAAAAAAAAAGGAGCCCGTAGTGAGGCATGCCTGTGAGACGAATGCACATAATGTCAAACTTTGAAAGGCCATGAAGCAAAAAAAAACAAAAAAAAAAAACCAAAAAAAAAACCAAAAAAAAAAAACAAAAAAAAAACATTTAAAAAAGAGAACCAGGTGGTCCATAAGGCAAAAAGTTCCAAAAACCAAGCCGAACGGCAGGGAAAGCGAAAAACAGCAAGGCAAAAAACAATACAAGGCAGAAGTCAAGAAGCAACAAGGCATTGGATGTATGGCAGGCGGAAGCAAAGGGCGTAGGCTGGAGTGTCTGGGGAAGCCGGGTGTGGGCAGATAAACAGCAATACCTTTTTCACCTGAATAAAACGTACGGTAATTATAGCCGTATCTAGACTAAAATGTGCCCCGAATTCGGCTATAATGACCGTACGTTTTATTCAGGTGAAGAAGGTAGGCAACAAGGAGGTGTACGAGATGGCAGGCAGCAGCAAAGAACATAGGCTGGAGGGCATGGGGGAGGCAGGTGGGCAGACAAACAGCACCAGCCAGCAAAGGAAAAGGCAACAAGACCAAGAAAGCAAGGCAAAGAAACAGAAAGAAGATCAAGACTCAGCAAGTATATATAAAAAAAAAAACCATCGTGGAAAAAAAAAAAGAAGCTGATGATGAAAGATTGCTTCGTCTGAGTTGCACCGACTCATCAGGAGGCTGAACCCTCAATAATCTGCGGAATCCCCGTAGTGGTGGTTTGGGTCATGAACCTTTTGACCCATGTTTGTTGAAGGCAGACCGTCCACAAGCGGAACACAGCAGCACTGGCAGGCAACAACTCAGCAAAGCACCAGGAAATGCTTGCCGGAGCAAACCCACCTGCCCAACGGCAAAACCTAACTCCACGGATGAGCAGCACGGCAAGCGGACGGGCAGCACGGCAACAATGCAGCGAAGCACAAGGCAACACCAGCAACACAGCCACACCACACGGTGGACACAGAAGCTGTGAAGAACGAGATGCGCAGACACTGGGACGGGCAACAAGGCAGCGGTGGAGGGAAGACAAGGCAGTGTGTACACATCCAACAAACACAGAGCAAAGCAGCACATCACCTACTCACATCACGAATGAACCCCACAGACTGTTGGTTCCCACCACCTGCTGAGCCAGGAACGCACTCCGACGGACGTCTATCATCACCCATAGACGATATGCACCATAGGCATCACAGACAGAGCGAACCTTCTAAGAGTCCTGCTGGCATTCCAAACCACCGAACACTGACTATTTAGCACTCCTTAAAGGTGCTCACATAGACACTCAGAAAGTAAGAAAAAAATCACGAAAGCGAAAAAAGTTCAAAAAACATGCATGCATTAAAAAATGATTGTGTGTGTGTGTGTGTGTGTGTGTGTGTGTGTGTGTGTGTGTGTGTGTGTGTGTGAGAGAGAGAGAGGAGGGACGGAGGGAATTAGGGAAGGAGAGGGAGAGAGAGCACCAAGTGTGTGTGCGCACGGAAAGAAGCCAGTCTGACATTCTTGGTATAGTTCCTTTATGACTTTCTCCTTATGAGAATGAACGTGGACTAAAAGATTGGGTGAATCGCTTGCTGTTCCTTGATGACCTCCCAACTCCCTTGTACTTGCATGTGAATGGCGTGAACTATTTTTCAGGCAGTGCATCCAATAAGCAGCATCCTTGACTTAAAGAGAAGGCTTGGTGATTGCCGGAGATGTTTTGCATACTTTCATCCTTCCATGCCAGGTGAGAGTAAGAGTGCTTTTTTTTTTTTTAATCATCAAATTAAAAAATTAAAAAAAGAAAACTTAAAAAGAAGATAAATTTTATATCTCCCTCCCTCTCTTTATTTCAATTCTTGCTTTTTTTTTATTATTATTATTTTTTTTGGCCCATGTCGCCATCAGGAACCATCCAGAATACCCAGCCCCTGTGGTCGAATGGTACGCACATGTATTTGTCCACAAGCCGATCATGAGTTTGAATCCTTAGTGTGAATCACAAGGAGACAGTTAGTTAGGGGTTACCCCCTTAAAAAAAAAAAAACCAAAAAAAAAACCAAAAGAATGAACCATCCAGTGTATTGTATCATGGACCAGCGGTAGAAACAAGATCATCACAGATACTCGTCTTTTTCTATTTCATTGTATTTTTTCCGTTTTTTCTTTTTTTTATTTTCTTGTTGCCATACTGAACAGATTTCCTCCTTTGTCGCAGGAGAGCCATTAGTCTTCATCGAAGTTGCGCTCACAAATGGGATCAGCAGCTCAATTCAGGTGATTTTCAATCCACTGCTACCTCCCTCTCCCTCAACTCCCAACCCCCCAACCTCCCTCCCTACCTCCCTACCTCCCTACCTCCTTACCTCCCTACTTCCCTACCTCCCTACCTCCCTACCTCCCTACCTCCCTACCTCTCCTATCTCAAACATAAAAGCTTTCCTAGTTTCAGCGAAGATCTTTTTCTATTTTCACAGCATTGAACTTATGCTGTATCTTGTTTCTGTCCAAAGACTGCAGACTTGAGTGCACAGCCGTGTAATTCTTGTTATTCATCCTTGCTGCCATGGACTTGATCAACCATCCTAATCATCATCATTTTCCTTGTTAAAGAACTGTTTTCCCTTTTTTTTTTCTTGTCTTTTAAAGGACTGCTTCATGCATGAAAGAAGAAGTAGAAACAGTTTCTTACAAAACAAAAAGTTGAAAATATGATGACGATGGTATGACAACGATGACGATGATGATGATGATGATGACGGTTACCACAATGATGGCGATGACGACACCGACGACGAGGACGAGGACGAGGACGAGGACGAGGACGAGGACGCCGACGAGGACGAGGACGACGCCGACGACGATGATGAGATGATGATGATGATGATGATGATTACCTTTTTTTTTTTTCTTTTTTTTTTTTTGGGATGATAATGACCTATTTGCCAACAGATGCGTGTTTCCTCTTTTGGCCAACCTTCCTTCCTTGATCACCTTCATTGTGCTCATGCATGTGTGTGGTGGGCTCCGTGTGTGCTGGGGGAGGAGGGAGGGGAGGAGGGAGGGGAGGAGGGGAGGAGGGGAGGAGGGA